AAAAATGAATTATATTGCCTCTTTCTTCCTACAATCCCTACAAAACTCACAAAAGAGAAATTCACTGAGAAGTCTCTCCATTGGCATCAGGGGCCTTGAATGAGGCCCTGTGACCAAGCAGAGAGAGAGAGACTTTGCTACTAAATCAGATCTGTGGTTTAATCGAGTGGTTAGATCAAAATTTGCTGGGCCAACTATTTGCACTGAGCTGGGACAGTGCACAGAAAGACCACATGGACACAGTCATCATCTGACAACAAGTGTATTCGTCACAGTTACCAAAAAAAAAATCATGTTTATAATGATGGGTTAACATTAAATCCATCATGCCACTTACACAATGAGTTGGTATCTGTTAGGGTCCATTTACACTGTACTGTAGGTCGAAATAAGATACGCAATTGGAGCTATGCAAATTGCATATCTTATTTTGAAATAGATTATTTCATAATTTGGCACTATCTACAGAATGCCAAATTTCAAAATAACCCGCCATTCTGAACTGTCCCTTACTCCTCATGGAATGAGGTTTACAAGGACATTGGAATAGCAAGCTCGTTATATTTTGAAAAATGGGCTTTCTGTTCAGCCATAGGATACCTATGGATACCTCCAGTATCCCTGTGACAGGGCCGCAGCGGCATCCCACACTCCGGTGCTTTGGGCGAAAAGCCACCATGGCTTCTGCCTCAGCTGGGCCGAGTGTTCTCCTCAGCTGCTGGCAGCGTCATACTCCCGAGCGGGCCACGAGGAACGGAAGGAGGAGGAACCAGAAGCGACGTCACTGGATCCCCGATGGCGGGGACATCGGTCTGGAGGGATGTAGCCGCGAGCAGTTAGTCTGGACTAGTGAGATTTCAAAATGGCGACCGGACAGGAACATGCAAATAAAGCCCAAGATATTTAAATCCCGGGCTTCATTTGCAACTTCGAATGCCTACATTAGCCTACCTAGTTCGAACTAGGGGGCTAGTGTAGACATACCCATAAGGACCATAGGTGATGGGGTGTAGGACTTTCTAACGGGATGTGCCAGGGAAAAGGGATGCTCAGGGAACCGCGGAGGACCTTTGGTGAGTTCTAAAGGGACTGACTTGTGGGTTCGCCCTTAGAGAGCACCCCTTAGCTGGTCCTGTGACACCCCTGTGCCGGGTAGAGGCTCCCGATTGAGGGGCAGAGGAAGATAGATGCTGATTCTGGGGGGAGGGGCCCGGCCTGGCACAAAGAAGGCCAGGGGGCAGCCATTTGACAATCCCAAAATAGCACTGCAGTGTAGACATAGCCTTATTCACCGGAAATGTAAGAATTGCCAAACTGGATCAGATCAGGGGACCTTCTAATCTAATATCCTGTCTCTGAAAGTGTCCAATACCAGCTAGTTCAGAGGAAATTTAAGAACTCAGTGGTCCCCTTTTCCCCACAACAACTCTCATTCTTAGCTCTAGTTGTTGGAATTTGTCATAGCCCTGAAGCACAAGGTTGAATAGTCCTACTAAAAGAAACATTGGATGTTCTTGTGATCACTAGGTAAAGCTTTTTGGTCAGGTGTAAAATGAATGAATGATCTATTCACTAATTGTGCTTTTGACCTTGATTCAGCAAAACAGTCACGTGCTCAACAGCAAGCATTTCCTTACATACCAGTGAAGGTTCAAGGTCACAAGCATGCACTTGAAGTTTAGTATCTGCAAAAGTTATCTCGGGAATTCATCTTCTTTAAGCAAGAGGAGTGCCCAGAAGGCAGAGTGCTTAAAAGAGCATTTGCAACTTCAAATGCCTACATTAGCCTCCCTAGTTTGAACTAGGGGGCTAGTGTAGACATACCCTCAGGTGCCATAGGACTATCTGTTGATCCAAAAATGAATTCTTCTCTCAAATTGGATTAGTCACCAAAAATTGGTGCTTCAGTGTTTCAATCACTGTGCTCATTATTCCAGCATCTGGAAAGTCTGGCATGGAGCAAAAGACTTAGCAGTTTCCAACCATACTCAAGAGACTCCCTGATGGCTTGAGTAGAGTTGTCATAACCATGCTCTGACTTGGCCTGGTATGCGCCTTACACAGTCTGTGAGGCACAGCATTGAACCCAGTGACTCATGCAGTGGAATAATACCAAATCCAGAGAGCAGGCTACAATGCCTAACTGTCTCCTGGCTAAGGTCCAGGTTCTATGAGCTGCTGCTTATAGCTAAGCACGTGCCTAAGTGGCAGCAGGATTGGCGGGGGCCGGGCATACCAAATGAATATCCACAATATTCTGTTGTGTTATTTCATCTTTCCATACCTGAGGACAGCGCCTGTTAGGATCGAGATATTCAGGCCTGCCTCATATGACCTATAATTTAAGAATTCTGGTGTATTTTTACAGGGATAAAAAAACAAGGAATCAAAATCACAATATGATGGTCTGATGCCTTGTTCTTGAGCTAAGATTTTGGTAAAGCAGAAAGGACAGCAATAAGCAGGAAGCTAGTCTTGACACATTCCAAACCAGTCATATTGAAGAAATGAAGGGAAGAGCCTAGAAACTAAGGCTGCTAGCTTTCTGTCTAGCAAGGACCCACTTATCAATAGTTGGGGTTGTGAAATCCATAATTCTTTATTGCTGTGTTATTATGCACCCCTTCTCTCTATTGTTTATCTTCATGGCTCTGTCTGGTTCTTTGCTTTTTTTTTTTCCTGTCTCATGTATAATTAAGTTTGTTGGGTGTAAACCAAGTAAGGTTGTGGGATGTAACTGGATAGATAATCATGTTACAATATGTTAGGATTGGTTAATTACATTTAAGTAGAATAATTGGTTAAAATAAACCTGAAGTTATGCCCAGAACCACTGGAGAAGATTTATAACACTGCCTAATATTTTGAAGTGGTGTCATTGTTCTGATAGAAAAAGTCAAATAATTTTGGGATGAAAATAGCAAACTCAGTTAGAATAAAGCCAAACAAAGGTCTCAAATAAAGGGCCAGTGTTATCATAGAATACTAGGACTGGAAGGGACCTCGAGAGGTCATCATGTCAAGTCTCCTGCCCTCATGGCAGGACCCAGTACTGTCTAGACCATCCCTGATAGACATTTATCTAACCTCCTTACTAGACAGTCGCTTCCCTTTCTGTACGTGTGAAACTGATTGTTCCTTCCTAAGTGGAGCACTTTGCATTTGTCCTTATTAAACTTCATCCGATTTATCTCAGACCATTTCTCCAATTTGTCCAGATCATTTTGAATTATGACCCTATCCTTCAAAGCAGTTGCAACCCCTCCCACCTTGGTATCATCTGCAAACTTAATAAGCATGCTCTCTATGCTGATATTTAAATCGTTGATGAAGATATTGAACAAAACCAGTCCCAAAACAGACCTCTGCAGAACCCCACTTATTATACATTTCCAGCAGGATTGTGAACTGTTAATAACTACTCTCTGAGAATGGATATCCAGCCAGTTATGCACCCACCTTACAATAGCCTCATCTAAGTTGTATTTGCCTAGTTTATTGATAAGAATATCATGAGAGACCATATCAAATGCCTTACTAAAGTCTAGGTATACCACATCTACCCCTTCTCCCTTATGCACAAGATTCATTATCCTATCAAAGAAAGCTATGAAATTGGTTTGACATGATTTGTTTTTACAAATCCATGCCGGCTGTACCCTATCACTTTATTATCTTCCAAGTGTTTGCAGATGATTTCCTTAATTATTTGCTCCATTATCTTTCCTGGCACAGAAATTAAAGTGACTGGTCTGTAGTTTCCTGGGTTGTTTTTATTTCCCTTTTTATAGATGGGCACTATATTTGCCCTTTTCCAGTCTTCTGGAATCTCTCCTGTCTTCCATGATTTTCCAAAGATGATAGCTAAAGTCTCAGATACCTCCTCTATCAGCACCTTGAGTATTCTAGGATGCATTCATCAGGCTCTGGTGACCTGCAGGCATCTAACTTTCCTAGGTGATTTTTAACTTGTTCTTTTTTTATTTTATCTTTTAAACCTACTCCCTTCCCAATAGCATTCACTATGTTAGGCATTCCTTCATCAGACTTCTCGGTGAAGACCGAAACAAAGAAGTTATTAAGCATCTCTGCCATTTTCAAGTTTCCTGTTTCTTCCTCCCCACTTAGCAATGGGCCTACCTTGTCCTTGGTATTCCTCATGCTTCTAATATATTTATAGAATATCTTCTTGTTTCCCTTTATGCCTGTAGCTAGTTTGAGCTCGTTTTGTGCCTTTGCCTTTCCAATCTTGCCCCTTCTTTCCTGTACTGTTTGCCTATATTCATCCTTTGTAATTTGTGTTAGTTTCTATTTTTTATATGATTCCTTTTTTACAGTTTTCTAAACAGTATTTTACACAAAATAAAAATAACAACAAGTTTTGTAGCATTGAATGAGTAATTTAATGAGCAATTAAGAAATGACAAATCATTTGAAAGTAAGTCAGGTGATAGCTCTGTATTTGTTATGAAGAGAATAGTCCCCTATCCCATAGAATCATAGAACCATAGAGCTGAAAGAGATCTTAGAAGGCCATCAAGTCCAGCCCCCTGCACAAGGCAGGGCCAATCCTCATTAAATCAACCCAGCAATGGCTTTGTCAAGCCGAGACTTAAACACATCCATCCTTCCTTCCATGTGCTATATTTACTTTTAAGAACAGATTTGATCCCATTGATTATATATTAAGATGGCTCTCATGAATAATAGAGAAGTCAATGTTTCATTGGGATTGTTGACAGAATAAGAACTTCACAAGTGTTTCTTGGAAGGAAGTGACACCTTTAGATATTATTTGGTAAAGGCTGATGTTGATATTGATGAGATTTCAAATCTATTCATTCAACATTGTACAAGTCAAGCTTGTAAAATGCTGAATTTCAGGTATGGAAGAAAACTCTACTACAATTGGAAAGAAAGAACTAAAGCAGGATACAACATGAGGTAAAAGGTCAGAGCTTACAGCCTTTACTCAGATAAGTAACCCCATTTACTTCAGAAAATATAACCCTAATTTTCTAAAAGATTCTGTTATTAGAAAGCAGAATTTCCATGAACGGAGGAATCAGAGGCTGTTATTTTATTTCAGTGTTGCAACAGCAGGAGGCAAAGCACTTTTCCTTGACCAACGGGTTTTCACATGCTTTTTTTTTTAATTAGGACAGTTTGAATAAATGTCTTCATATGTTCAAGGTTTGGCTGAAAATAAAAGAAAGCATGAAATTAGGCATTAACAAGAGGAAATGGAAATGCATGACGCCATTTCTTTTAAATCGTATTTTGATTGAATAAGCATGTCTCAGAGTATTTGTTTCTCTTCACTTTTATTTGTTCATCAGTAAAACTGCAAAAGTCTAACAGAAAAATTGTTCACTCAGTTTCGCGCATTTTATGAGGTGGAACAATACTTTGTTCTAATACAGCTTATTACAGTATAATTACAAGATGGACAACTCTGGTTTGGTGGTGAGTCTCCCTGTAATAAAACTAGATCAGTTCTCTCTTTTACTATTTCCCAGTAGAGTTTTTTCTGAAGAATAATCCCACCATGGCTTCTCGACTAGCCCACTCGACTAACTCATGAACCACTCAGCTGGGTTGCCATGTGGGAGCAAGCAGCACAAGCGGCTGATTGGGCCCCGTGCTACCCATGCAGCACCTCTGTGCTGCATGCGGAGTGCAGACTCCAAAGAGCTGCTTGCACTTCTTGCTCCCACGCAGCAGTCCGCCTGAGCGGCGCAGAAGTCAACCAAGTGCCACAGCGGGTGGTAACAGAGCCACCCAGAGGGAACAGCCAGTGTTTCAGCGTTACAGAATCACAGACATTGGGCTACTATTTATATGATTTGACACTGTGTAGACAGCACCAAATTACATGAAATAAGCTATTTCAACATACACTCAGAAGAGCTACAGATTTTGGATCTAACTGAATTTGCAACAGACTTTGGAAGTTAGCAAAAGTCTGTGACAATCCACCATGGCAGGGGGCAGAGGTGAGAGCCTCCTCTCTCTGTCTAGGGAGGTTCACACACCACTTGGCAGCTTCTGTAGGTAGAGAGTCACCGAAGAGCCTTAGAATAAACTTGTTGCTCAGAGGCAAAGTGCTTCGTGCACGAAATACAAACGGCTAAAATGTGTGATACTCACTCACGTGGTAGACCACGTAGTTCTTCTGAAGTGAGTACAGCTACTTGCTTACAGTAGTTCAACTGTGAGGCCCAAAGACTATTACTCAGAATGACACCAGGAAAATGTCATTTCCTTTATGGACTGAATGAATTGATTCGTGGGAAGCAATTCTCTGTGGGAACTTCCTCTAGCCCATGTAGGTGTTAAATATTTTTAACATTGACACAAGGTTCTTTTTCTTTTTTGACGAGTGGAGGTAGGGAAATTAATGAGGATCTCCTGATTCCTAGTAAGCAGCATATATATAGCTATATCTCTCTCTGTAATCTCTCTGTATAACGTATTCCATAAATTCTCTCATTCCTTTCAACAGGACTATTTATTAGGTATTTATGTAGTGCCTAGCACAACAGGGTCTCGGACACAATAGTGGATTATAAGGATTATCACAAAATAATACATGCAAGTAATGGCAAAGGCCTATTCAGTACAGAATCAGAAATGCAGGGATGGAAGGGACTGAGGCAGCATTCAGTATTCCTAGACTATTCCTGATATACTTACCTAACCAGGCGTAGCTTTAGGGCAAGGCAAACAAGGTGGTTGCCTTGGGCCCCATGCCTTCAGGGGCCTGCGCTGCCTGGCACCCCCCCTCCCCCTCCGCCCGGCTGCTCGCCCCGCTGCCCTGGCTGTGAGGACTCACTGAGATGATTACTTCTTGTCCTATCCTGAGAGGACATGCAAAACAATCAATCCCATTCTCCTTTATATTGAAATGTGACATATGTGAAACCTGTCTTCATGTCCTCCTCAGACTTCTTCTTGGTGGGGACATGAGACCAGGATGACAGTCCCCTCGCAAGATAACAATTCCCCTCCTCAGAAGCCTTTACATAAGCTCCTACACCTGCTCATGTTTCAATATAACATGCCTAACAATGAGGGTGAGTAAGGGCCCCATGGTTAGTCTCCATAGGCAAGATGTTTGAGGGGATAATACCCCAAATCTTTCCGGCCAAGTGAATTAAACATTGTCATAATAAATGACAACTTCACCATTGCCATATTTAAATTCTGCTAAAACTTACTGCATAGTCCATTGTCGCAAGCATCAGGGCAATCGCCACACGGTGTCCCTGATTTATATGGTGTGTTCATTCTGCCTTGGATATTCCCCCTGAAATGTTAAAATGAAAGAGAATAAGATGTAAAGCCAGCATGCAGCGCACGTCTTCCATTACATGCAGGGACATTTACACTGCAGTCCGGGATATGATTTACAGCTACTGTAGACATCCCCTCACTAGCTGTACCTATCTCCCCTCCCTGTCTGTACCTAGCTCCCTTCCTACTCTGCTAGAATAATGACAATACTATGGGTCTGCAAAAGTGAATAAGGGTGCTCCGGTGTCAGACAGCCTTATACCACCTGGGCTGATGCCCATTACAAGATTTTACAAGCTAAGCTAGAATCAAATGAGTACCTTTGTATCTACATGTGCTGCAAACACACCTCTGGCTGTAGTGTGGTATGCATCAGACAGATATTTCAAATGCCAACTTGCCACTATTAAAATGTGTCAAAAGATGTGTGGCCAAACCCTTGCACTGCTTTGAAATTCTCACTCATTGGCTTCACTGGGAAGGAGAGATTGCTTACAATACATGCAAGTGCTTAAGTCCCATCCTGAAGAGAGGACTCACAGTGACCAGCACTGCTACTTCAGAGGAAGATGCAACAAACCCTGCAAGTTAACATTCCATAGGGAAAGTTTCTTACAGACCCCTAAGGATTTAGAAATTGGAGTATTTCCTTTTTCACTTACCCAGCTGTTAAGAAAAATGCTTAGAGTTTTCATCAGAGCAGACCTCACTGGGAAGTTATTGAGGCTTTGGAGGATGCATATATTTTCAGAATGTAATTCCTGCATAATATTATTCCTGAATTGCCCCCCTCTGCCCATAAGCATGCTTAAAAATTAGGCTGCAGTGTAGATGAAAGTTTCTTGGGTCATTTCAATGAATTAAAGCACTAAGGAATTCCACTAATCAATGAAATCCATAGTTAATACATACGCAGGGCAGTACTGGCAAACGTAATAGTACTTGTATTCTTTGTCAGGGCAATAAGCAACTGCACATCCAATCTGGTAAGACTTGTACCAAACCACCTGGAGACAGAATAAATACATGAATGAATATGAAGGACTCTATATTTCAATATAATAAAATATACATTTAAAAACCCTTTAGTATGAAGTTGAGATTTTGGCACACGATCCTATACATTCGGATGACTAAAAGTCCCCTCCTATATAAAAGAATCTGAACATGTATGTAATTTTCACATGGTTTTACTGATGCTTTATAGAAAAGCCATATAGAATGTAATGAGGATAGAATCCAAGCTCATGATACCTTCACATTCACCTGGAATCTATAAATCTGGACATAAAAATAACAATAAATATATTGGTTTAACCACAGATTGTGGAGCTCGAAGAGGAATCAGTGGATAAAAATATTTGGATGTTGTTATATGAAGTTCATAAGATTAGATGGTCATAATGGCCCATTCTGGTCCTGAAATCTAAGAAATACAATTCTACAGAACAATTGTAAACCAACCTATAGATATTTATCTCTCTAGTTTCTTATCTTGCCCCATTCCAGTAATATCCAAATGCCTACAAAATATATACAAATACAAATACATTCTCTCTCGGTCTCTCTTTCTTCCCTGGTGGGTAGGACTATCAACTTGATTAGTTTATAACCATTTTATGTGAAGATGCACATACATGTCTGAAGAACATATAGAAGGAAAGCTAACAGAAGGTAAGATTTAGGGCCTGATTCTGCCTTCTATCCATCAAGAACAACATTACTTCCACAAGGAAAAATCTAGAGGATTATCTCTGCCAATGTGATCTCACTTCTTTGAATGTGGTGGGTTCTCTTATCTATCACTCTGTCAATGTTGTGTGCATCCTTATTTCTTAAAATGAGGTTAGACCAAGCTGATTTAAATGATCAAATCGTAGTGTTTCCACCACTATCTTTGGTCTAATAGACCTCCCTGTCAGGATATTTAGTCTACAGTTTCCACAGTTTTATTTTGTTATTTCTCCCATAACTTCTGCTCTGTTGGAATAATTCTTATCCTTTTCTCTGTTTATTCCTTTTAAATATATTTAGGCTGTTATTACTCCTACACCTGGAAATCATTTAGCCCAAAGATGTATCCATTAAATCATGACTATTACAAGTTGTGCTATGGTGCTTACCTGAGTATAATGGCCTATCACTGCTTCTGGTGGATTTGCCCCAGTGCCATATATGAACTTTTCCACCTCATTGTACCAGGTTTGGATGGCATCTGACCAGGAATTGGGTGCACTTGACATGTAGAGATTTTCACCACATCCCACCGCTGGAAATGGAAAGGAAAGCATTCACAAAAGCTGATGAGAAGGACTTAAGAAGATGCAAGTGTTTTATAATATATGGAGATACATCTCATAGAACTGGAAGGGATCTTGAGAGGTCATCAAGTCCAGTCCCCTGCCCTCACAACAGGACACATGAGGAGAACCAGCTGAAGATTTAGGAATTTCTAGGAAAGCCTGGTGGAAAGAATCTGTTTCATGTACTGAATACTAATACCCTCAACCTGCCCTTTGTCACTCTTCAGAACACAAGTGAATAGACTCATAGACTTTAAGGTCAGAAGGGACCATTATGATCATCTAGTCTGACCCCCTGCACAGTACAGTCCACAGAATCTCACCCATCCCTCCGAGAATAATCCTCTCACCTATATCTCAGATATTGAAGCCTTCAAATACTTTGAAGACCCCAAGATGCAGAGAATCCTCTAGCTGTGATCTGTACCCCATGCTACAGAGGAAGGCGAAAAACCTCCAGGGCCTCCGCCAATCTACCCTGGAGGAAAATTCCTTCCTGACCCCAAATAGCGTTGGGAAAATCCCAAAAGTTCAAAGGTTACCTTTGGTTCTCAGAAGTATTCAACGATTCAGCTGTTTGTCTAAATCCCCATGCTAAAGACAAATTAGCCTAGATCTGCCTAAATGCCAAGGATCCCCCAAACTTCCATTACTGTCAGCACAAGACAATTCCTTGACATTGCAACTTGGTTCCTTCTCCAATGAGTCCTGAATAGTCTAATACTGACTATTCCGACAGTATTCATCATACTGTTAACCAATGTAAATGACCTCAGTGAAAAGTGATTGAGTGTGAAACACAGAATTATTCATATCATTGGACATGTTTGCAGAGAAACGGTAGGAGATGGGGGAGTATAAAGAGATTCCTTTAAAAAATAAATGTTCCTAGTTTTTTCAAAATTTGAAAATTGCAAAATTTCATGGAAATATTCTGTCTTCACAAAGAGATGCTTAACGCTAAATATGATGCAGTCTTATTTCAGAATAGATGAATTCATTCATCCAGAATAGTAAATATTATTCATTCACCATAATACTAATACCACTAAATAAGAAATAGTTATATTACCAGGACACTGTTCATATAAATGGTTCAATGATGCATTTACTATTTCAAATTAACATTTTACTTACTAGTGGTCCTTTGCTCTTGGGGGCTGTGGGATAAAGTGCACTGATTTGCCCAATTCTTGGCATTCTTTGCAGCTTCAGCATTCCATTCCTTAATGAAATGAGAAACGTTAGATGTTCAGCTGCGTACCTCTTAGTGAGTAAACAGACACTTGGAAACAGTGTTTTCTTCATAATTCCTTCTCTTTCATCTGGATCATAAAAGGAGCAGCGCTCTATGGCTGCATCGCATAGGAGGAAACTAAAAATCATAGTGATTAGCTCCATGGAGAACATCTCACAAGACAACCTGGCAGACCAGAGCTAATTGTTTTCCTCTTCACTTCCAAAGGAGACATCATAATTCACAAGCTGCAAGATTTATCATATCCAACCTGCTCCCTTCCCCTCACAAGTCCTGTGCTGGATAACATTTTAGGCAAGAAAGGAGTCACATAGCATATTTTCTGCCACTGAAATGTTGAAACCTTGAAAATTCTCTAGTAACATTAGCAGGGTCTGGGTACATCACAAATTACTTTGCAAAATGCATCTTACCATCCTCAGCATCTTGCTAGCAGTTGGGTTCACCCCTCTCCTTAGGGTATTATGCTTGTCAACAATCTCCTTTTGCTGATCTGCTTTGTCAGTGGACAGGGCATCAACACCTGGTTCCTAAATTAAAGAAATGTACGATAGTCATTGTTGTATGTGGTTGTGTGAGTCTAAAATATTGAGTTCATTTTGGTATGAAAATATTGGAAGAGTTTGTTTCCTTGCAAAGATTCTTAAATCAGCAGTAACTCAGTGGAAGTCAATAGCATCAATTCTAATTAATGTGTCCTCATAAACATCAGCTCATGAAATGTTTACAGTTAATTTAATCAGAATGAATCTATCAATCAGGCAGTAATTATGGGTAAGATCCTGATATCTTTGGTCTATGATATGTGGCATTTTATTCATGTCTGGTCCAAGTGTGACCAATTTAACAATAAGACGCTGATGCTAATATTTAATCTTAGGATTTTTAGACTGACAAACTCTTTTAAAATATATTGGGTCAAATTCAGTGCTGGTAAAGACAGGCTTGGCTCTGCCTCATCTAATTATTAATTACATTGTGGTTGCCAGATTTGGCATTTAGTCTGTCTTGAACACTTTTGTTGTTTTTGTGCTTTAGGGACTCAATGGTTTTGCAATTTCACTTTCCCACCTGAAAAAAATGACCAGTCAAAATCGAGAGTTCTGAAATTCCTGAAGTGAAATGCTTTATCTCATGGGAACAAATGTTTTCTTTTTTCAGATTTTCAATTTGCAAAACTATTTGAAAATTTTAACTTTTGTTGGAAACATGTTCCTCACCCAGCTCTCATCTTACCTGTCCGGTTGTTTGCTGCAGCACAGCAGCCAGGCCCAGGAGTACAGCGAGTAGAATCATTTCTGAAAAGGGAAGAACAACCTACTTTGTTGTCTGTGTATTTAAACCTATTACAGCAAAAGTAAGCTGCCATATGCTATAGATACCTAAGGATATTTTCATTCAGGAAGGGGATGATTTTGACACCACTTCATTATACACTAGAGCAAGGTTTCCCAACCTATGGGTCACCATTTCATTTCAAAAGGGTTACAAAGTGTCCCCCCAGGTGGCTCTGCCCCTTCTTGTCCCCCCGTTTTTGAATTGCCTTGGGTTACCAAGTCTTCTGTCCCCCTTTTTTTGAATTGCCTTGGGTTACCAAGTCTTCTCGAATTGTCAAAGTGGGTTCCTATCTGGAAAAGGTTGGGAACCGCTGCACTAGAGAGAAAAAGCCTCCTTTCTTTCTCTGTTACTTTTCAAAGTACTAGGGACCAACCAGCCTCCTGTTTTTTTCCTCTCTGCACATGCTGGTATACAAGAGGGCTGTCTTTTAGACCGTGGCCTAATGCAGTGGTGGTCTGAATTAAATGAGGAGGGAGTTTCAAATTTCCTTGCAGGAAGAAAGGGGAGACATTACCACCGACGCCACCCCATCCTGGGGCTTTCATTACATGGCGACAGGTTTAGCTTCCACCTCGAGCTCCATAGGAATTTTTTCTATAGAGACTGCAGAAGTGATGTACTGACTTACCAGATGCACTACCTAACTCGGTAATATGCCCTTGCTAGACACATACGGCTGTGTCTACACTGGCTACTTATTCCAGATAATCAGCCGCTTTTCCGGAATAACTTGCCAGCTGTCTACACTGGCCTCTTGAATTTCCGGAAAAGCACTGACGATCTACTGTAAAATCATCAGTGCTTTTCTGGAAAAACTTTTGGGGTGAACTATGCACAGCAACACAAGCCAGTGCAAATGTGGTGTAGTGGGATGGTGTAGTGGTGATGGTTCTGGTTTGAGATTTTCCTGGTATAATGAGGTGGCAGCTGGCAGACCTTCCCATATGCTGCTGGAGGGAGTCTCCAAGACAGGCATAAGGATCTTGTGCAAAACAGAGGCCTTGCACAAAACAGAAGCAGCAACACTGCATCTTTTTGCGCAAAAACCCCTTGCGCAAATAGAAAAGGCAGAAAATATGCTAATGACATCACAACTCATGCTAATGAGTCCCTCATAAGCATATTTTCTGCTGCAAAAACTCGCAGTGTAGACATAGCCTAATAGTATAATGGCCTGGTGACATCATCCTGTGGTAGATGACCTTACTGCAAACAATAAGAGTTTCTGCTTCATTTAAACTGGTTTAATCCTGAGTTTTATGTGATTTTAGAACCAAGGTTCTAATCTCAGCTCCCCAGATACAGATTTGAACATAGAAAGTTTTGAATTGTCATATCTGTCTGTGGCATATGGATTTATTATGGGCTAGTTCCTAAACTGGTAATGGAACCAAGTTTTCATTAGCTGAGCATCTGGCCATAACCTCTAAAATATATAAACATTACACAATTTAATGTTGATACTTAGGGTTGATAGATATACATTTTCTTTCGTGGTAATACATTTTATGGTACTGCATTTAGTTAACTAAGCTATAAGAACAGGTTGAACTTCTCTAGTCTCGGCTCATCTGAGGAAGTGGGTGTTGCCCATGAAAGTTCATGATGATTAGAGAGAAAGACAGACAGACAGACACACACACACTATGGTGCTACAGGACTTCTCATTGTTAGTAAAGCTACAGACGAACATGGCTTCCCCTCTACCCCTCTTAGGATTCCTAGTCCAGCATTCTCTAGTCTGGCAACATCTATGGTTCTGCATGATTTTGGTTAGCCAGGGGTCCACTGATCATGGGTGTGGCCAAGTTTCCTGTGGCCTCATAAAGTTTGTTTACAGCCACCAGTCCTGACTCTCAGTGTTCTGTGCTGTTACTTAGCTCTAGTTAACATCTAAATGTCTTCTAAGGTCCCAGTAAGCAATGGAAATATTGATAATGCTGCTAGACAATATTGACCTCCTTTGGGTCAATAAATTCTCTGGGTCAGCACCGGTCAGTTTCTGAGGTACCAGATTAGAGAGGTTCAAGCTGTACTATGCATTTCTTACCGTAGACCTTTATTTTGCTATTTCCTAATGTAATAGTATGCATGACTTCCCCAGCACTATTGACTAAAGAAATATCAATAAAATATCAATAAAATAAAAAAAAATTCTTGCATTTCGTTCAGCACTTGGGAGGTGGTTTTTTTGCTAAATTTGTAGCTATCCGTAAGTATTAAAAGCAAAAACGTGTCTGATCTTGGATGAAACCAGGAAACAACTGTGGTCTCAGCCAAGTGAAAAAAATCATTTTTCACATACAAATGGTGCTAGCATTAAAACTCAGGAAAATAAATGTTGTGGCAGGTTCTGAAGTGGAAATAACCCACTCATTGAAATTTTAAATATTGTTAAATTTGCAAATAAGGCTGAGAAGTGTCCTCCAAAGATATGGCAGAAGTGTTTCTGTTGTCAATTTTGTTAATAAACAAAATACAACTGATTTGTACATGATTCGGAGAAGTTACAAAAATGCCTGTTGTAATATACTGAAAGTCAGTGCGACTCCTACTTACATACATGTATAGAAAAACTTTCATCCAAATGTCTTTGCTTAGCATAGAGGTGGCCAAGCTTTGCTTGTTCTGTAGCCCCTTGTGGACCTATCAGCTGCCAGAGTACCGCTTCCCTTGTCATCACGGATAATTTGTGTGTTTTTTACACTACCTATTTTTAACTAGCTGCAATGTACAGATAGAGTGCAATCAACTGTCTGCTCTGTATCTGTGCAAAGCTTCACTGACCTCTTTGGACGGATCCATGTGCACCATTGCTGGATCAGTGCCTTAATATCTCCAGGGTGTATTATTTCAGCATTACAGGCAGAAATCTTCTAGTGTGTACATCTGATCCCCTCCCTGCAGACTTCTTACTTTTGCTAAATAGCCCTTAGCTATTTTTTACCTTGCTTCATTTCACTGAAAATAAAATCAAGGCATTTGAGCACTCTAATATTTCAAACAGTCTTCTCTATAGAAGATTATATTTAAAAACCTGAGAACAAGGTTTTCATGTGTTAAATAAAGGAACAGAAAGCTTACCTGTTCTTTCAGGGCAGATAGGAAATGTCTTCTGTGCCTGTCAACAGTTTGCGGCGGTGAATGGATTGCTTCTCTGGACCATTATATATAGCTCACCAGTTTCCTGCTTTGGCAAGGTGATTCAATGTCACAACAGGTGAAATAATTCCCTAACTGGAACTGGATAGCACACTGGCTTTGTCATACATACTCCCCCAAAATTTGTTATTTGTATTTGATTTTTACTTCCTTCTTTGGTGTATTTTGAAAGAATCAAGAAATCTCTACTTCCAGGTAAGCTGACTTGAGTTTCTTATATATTGTTCATGATAAATACATTTCACAAGCAGAGCGAACTGCATAATCTCACGTCAGGAGGAGTTATTACAAATAGTTGACACACTTAAGAATCTCTACATCATAGTGGATCTAATATTCATCTACACCAGTGGATTTCAAACTTGAATACTGTTAGAAAAAGTACAGGTGACCCAGAAGCAGATAAAGTAGATTGGTTTCTTTATTGTAGATACTCATTCTGCCAAAACTCTGGTCTGAGTGAGCGATACATTAACTGCAGGTATATTCTTTTATGCAGGTTACTATGTAAATACACATATGTATTACAACTCCCCTTAAGCCCTACTTAGAGATGTGAATATGCATAAAATGTGATGAATAGAATTATACCTGTCCATTTACTGTGTACAGCACTTTTAGTGGAAGCATGTAGTTCTCACACCACAAATTCCCTAAATCAGAAGAGGTGGGGAGACACGACCCTGTTTGCATACTTTATGAATCTGGGAAGTGGGAAGATAATGCTACTTTTATACACAGAGTATTCATTAGAAAGTTACATTCTTTGTTCATTCCTTATCTACCCTAACAAGGAGGAAGGGAAAGGGTAGCAAACTCTGTCTAGCAAGCAGAAGAAATTGTGTTGCCTTTGCTAGTCTTTCCTATATCATTGTAACACTTTCCAACACCCCCTAGTTAGCCCTTACAGATTCCAAAACTCCCCCATTCTCTTCAAAGAAGGGCTCAGGCACTTTTCCTTCCAGCACACTGGCCAGCAGGGCCCTCGGGCTTAAGGCCCTGAATCCAATTGCTTAATACCTTAGTCCACCAGTCATGCTATGGGGAGGCAGAAAAGGTGGGTTATGAAATGAGTGGTTCATACTTTAAAAGTATGAGTTTTGGGGAGAGCCTAAGGTAGCACACTGCTTCAACAACCCATTACTGTGACTGATAATACAATTTGTACAAGCAATATCCCTACAGCGTGAATATTACAACCAAGAAGGAAATGAGTGTCTGTTAGGTATGTTCAAAGGTCACAGGCTACTTCAATCCAAGCAGGCAGTTCAGTTGTCAGTCGGAATGACATCCCAAGCTACATCCCACTGCATTTGGAACTCTTTGGCCAGGAGCTGCCTTAGCAAGTAGGAATAAGGGATCTTCCGAAAAAGGGTTTATTTTCTGCAAGATCCCGTCTAGACTGGCACTTTTTTCAGGTAAAACCCCAAGCCAGAAAAAAGTGGCAGCCATGTTCATGCAAATGCTGCGGGGGATATTTAAATCCCCCGCGGCATTTGCAATTCCGAAGTGTCTCATTAGCATCCGTTTTCCGGAAAGGGGTGCCAATGTAGACATAGCCTAAGTGTAATGGTGCGAGTCCCTTCCCCCTCCAGTGATCTCCCCACAGTCTGCAGGTGGAGCCAGGCTTTGGGGGGCGACCTTATTCTGCAGCGTCTTCCCTCCCCATGACTTGTAGGCTTTCTGGGAAGGGGCCAGGCTCCAGCTGCCCCCCTCCATTACCGGTGGCTAGCAGGCTGTCTGAGGAGGACCAGGCTCCGAAGGCTGACACCCCTCCAGTGCCTCTCCTGGAGTCTGTACGCTGTCTGGGCCAGAGGTGAGACTCTGGGAACTGCCCACAAAGCCCAGCTGCCCTTCTGCAGCCTGCAAGCTGCTGTGGGGGAAAAGGCTCTGGGATGTTGTCCTCTCACTGCCCACCTGTGACCTGCAAGCTCAGAGGGGAGGGGAGGATCATGCTCTGGGAGCTGTGTCCACTTCCAACTGCCGTCCATGGTATGCAAGCTGACTAAGGGAGGCCAGGTTTCAGGTTCTGCCTCCCCCTCCCCCGGTCTGCAGACTCCCCATAGTGGAGGCAGGCTCCACATTTGGGGCTGAGAGCTACTCACCTGGTCTGGAGGCAGGCAAGATGGTGGAGCCCCAGCTCTGCTGGCCCCTCTCTTGGTGCTGCAGCTGCCCCCAGTGCCCAAATCTCAGTACTGCATCCCTCTTCTCTCTGCTCCCTCCCTTTCCATGTTCTGGAAAACAGTCATGAGGCTACGTCTAAACAGACTTTTTTTTTTTGCCAAAAGATATGCAAATCACAGTCTCATTTGCATATCATCTGCCGATCCTTTTTGCGGAAGAGGTTTTGCCTCTAAAAGCCCCATAAAGACGGGGCCAATTGTCGGAAAAAAAACCTTTTTCGTGAGATCTTGTAAACTTCCTTTTTTTGAGGAATAAGGGATCGTGTGAAAAAAGGGTTTTTTTTCCAACAAATGGCCCTGTCTACTTGGGGCTTTTTCGTGGCAAAACGTCTTCTGCAAAAAGAATTAGCAGAAGATTAGCAATTTGCATATCTGCTGCCAAAACCCTCCCAGCAGTGTAAACATAGCCTCACATTCCCACCACTTCCCATTTTACAGGCACAACCACAAACTGATCTTGGTTTAAGTTATGGTAAGAGGAAGCTGCACACCAAATTTGGTGCTCCTAGCTCTTACAGTTCAGGAGATCTTGAACAAATGGATTCACAGATACACAAACAGATGAACTCACAGATAGACAGATGCACTCTAAATATATAGAGATACTGGAATGTGTCTGTCTATGAGTCTGTCTGCAAGTCCATTTGTTCAAGAACTCCTCCTAATTGGTGAGAGCTAGGGCTACCAGATTTGGTCTGCAGCTTCCTCTTACCCTAACTTAAGGTCAGAGGTTGGTTGTGCAAGGAAAATGTCAAGTGCTGAGAATGGGACTGTTTTCTAGAAAGGAAAAGGGCAGAAAGGAGTGGCGGAATACTCACAGTGACCACTGGGGGAAGCAAGCACAGGGGAGAGCTATACTTAGAGTGACCACTGGGGGCTGCTGCACCACTAAGAGTGAGGCCAACTGGGGCTAAGGCTTTCATCTTGCCTTTCACTAGAGCCGTTCTCCACCTCAGCCCCTGGCCACATCACTGGGGGAAGGGGACCCTTTGGTGGATGGGGAGAAGAGTCCCTGCCAGTCAGGGGAGGCTAGGGGAAGAGAGAAGGTCTCTGCCAACCAGGGAGGTGGGGGAAGCTGAAGTGAGAGAAAAGTCCTCAGCTGGCCAATAGAAGTTGTGGGGGGATAAGCCCCCTAGTGGCTAGAAAGCTGGGGAGAGAGAAAAGGCCCCTGCTGGTCGGAAAGGCTGGGGGTAGGGCAGGAAGGCCTATATGGCAGGGGAGGGGAGAGAGAAAGCCCTGCTAGATGGGACGCCCTGTCTTGAGTCCCTCATCAGCCCCCCTCCCTGACTACTGCATCTGCCCCCAGTATCCTCCTCTGTTACTATATCTGCAAGGCCCCATAGAACTCAGTCAATGCTAGGTAAGTCTTCTAGTTCCGTATAGTTACTTTTCTTTGAGTGATATCAATGTAACTCACTCTACCCCTAAATTCATGGGTAGCCAACGACTCAAAAATTAATTACAACAAAATTTAAGTACATGACACACAGGAAGATTGCTAAACAACCTATGGGGAAGAGTCAGCACGTTTTCCAAAGGGAAATTGGCTCACCAACCTACTATCATTCCTTGAAGAGGCCAAAAAGTAAGTGGATAGAGTGGCTATAATGCACTTACATTTTTAGAAAGCCTTCGAGGAGGTCCCTCACCAAAGACTCTCAAGGAAAGTAAATGCCATGGGAGAATATCTAAACAACTAGTGGGGCCCTTGGATGATGGAGATGCTAAAGGAGCACTCAAACATGATAAAGTCATTGCGGAGAAGCTAATAGAATTCTTTACTTCAGTCTTCACAGCTGGGGAGATTCCTAAACTTGAGCGATTCCTGTTAGGTGACAAATCTGCGGAATTATCCCAGACTGAGGTGTCATTAGAAGAGGTTTTGGAACAAATTAATAAACTTAATAGTAACAAGTCACCAGGACCAGATGGCATTCACCCAAGAGTTCTGAAAGAATTCAAATGGGAAATTGTGGAACTAACAACTCTGGTTTGTAACCTGTCCTTAAATCGGCTTCCGTACCAAATGATTGGAAGATAGCTAGAGTGATGCCAATATTTAAAAAGGGTTCTAGCAGTGATCCTGGCAATTACAGAGCTGTAAATCTAATGTCAGTATTGGGCAAAGTAGTTGAAAGTATAGTGAAGAATAAAATTGTCAGACACAGGGATGAATATCATTAGTTAGGGAAAAGTCAACTTGGTTTCTGTAGAGAGAAATCATGCCTTACTATTCTGCTAGTGTTCTTTGAAGGGGTCAAAAAATATGTGGACAAGGGGGATCCATTGGATACAGTACACTTAGATTTCCAGAAAGCCTTTGACAAGGTCTCTCACCAAAGGCTGTTAAGTAAAGTAAGTTGTCATGGGATAAGAGGGAAGGTCCTTTCATGGATTGATAACTCGTTAAAAGACAGGAACAAAATGGTAGGAATAAATGGTAAGTTTTCTGAGTGCAGAGAGGTAACTAGTGGCATCCCTCTAGGGTCTGTCTTGGGACCCATTCTATTCAATTTATTTATAAATGATCTAAAAGAAGAGGTAAAGAGTGAGGGGGCAAAATTTGCAGATGATACCAAACTGTTCAAAGTAGTTAAGACTAAAACAGACTGTGAAGAGCTTCAAAAAGATCTCACCAAACTAAGTGATTGGGCAACATAATGGCAAATGAAATTTAATATTGATAAATGTAAAGTAATGCACATTGGAAAAAATAATCCCAACTACATATACAATATGATGGGGATTAATTTAGCTACAACTACTCAAGAGAAATATCTTCGAATCATTGTGGATAGTTCTCTGAAAACATCCACTCATCGTGCAGTCGCAGTCAA